ACTTAGTTAAGGGGTTTTATTCCCTCCCTAACTTCAGGGGAAAATCCCTACTGGGGGAAACAACCTTTCTCGAGAGGTGACCTTCGTTAAAACACATAGTGCCAAGAAGGTGAGCAAACATATTAAGAACAGTATGCCATATACACCAGGTCCCTTGAAACAGCAAGGATGGACCAGCTCCCGGCAAATATGGTGTAGGGTAGAACTGGTCACATTCAAAAGACCAACATTGTAATTTAGGGTGAGCCTTTGGGTCATGTGGTATTTATTAGTCAACCTGGGGATTGAGATCAACCATGTGGGTAGTAACTGGATCATGCTTAGATATGGAACCCTAATAAAAACTCTGGGCCCGCCCAGCATGGCTCAGTGGTTGAGCAACGACCTATGAAACAGGAGGTCACAGTTCGATTCCAGGTTAGGCCAAATGCCTGGGTTGCAGGCTTCATCCCCAGTGTGGGTTATGCAGGAGGCAGCTGATCAGTGATTCTCTCTCATCATTGATATTTCTATCTCTCTCTCCCTTCCTCTCTGAAATCAATAAAAATATATTTTAGAAAACCCATGAAACTAAAAAAACAAACTCTGAATGCTGAGGCTTGAGCAGGGTTCCCTAGCTGGTGGTTCTCCATGAATATTGTTACAGTTGACACTAGGAAAGTAAAGTGACCTGGCTCCTCTGGGAAAAGACAATGGAAGCTCCACATTTGCTACTTCCTCAGACTCTACCCTAGCATATTTTCCTTGGCTAATTTGAGTCTGTTTCCTTTACCTCTAATAAACCATAATTATGAGTATAATATCTTTCAATAAGTTTTATGAATCTTTAAGGCTAATTATCAAAACTGAAGGCAGTTTTAAAAACCCCCAAACCTGCAATTGGAGTCAGAAGTGAGGGTAGCCTTGTGTGGACTGCCTGCCTCCTGGCTTCAAAGATGGCTAAACTCTTGTAGCTGTGGCTGACACCTTGATTGCCACCTATGAATAATATCTACATTTCCAGGAAAAATCAACTATTCTCTTTTACATTTTTATAAGTAATAAGTAATATGTCATCACCTTTAATGTGTCACAGAAAAAGAACTGGGATATAGCTGCCTATATCTTAGAAGCAGCTTCCTCCAGGGAGAAAAATTTCACCCCACTGATAAAACAGTGTAGTGCTTCCTGCTCTGCTTCTAGAGACAACTTCTTTTTCTTTCATTACCTGGTTCTCCCTTTTTCTGGTGCCCATTCACCTTATAGATCCTTAGCCTTATTTCTAAAACGTTAGTAATATTTTGTTTAGCCCAAGATATTTTCTTTGGAGAGAGTTAGCTATACAGGCACTGTGGTGAATAAACAGTGTGGATCCAGATGGAGGGAGCCAGACCTGAGATGTCTTAAAATGAGGCTTGTCCAAGAAAACTGCCTGGAGGGCTCAGATGACATCAACACAGAGGCTAGACAAGGGCCACTGGAAAGCAGCTGCAAAGGGGAGGCCCAAATTGGATCAAATCTCTTTCTTGCTTCAAATCCTTCAGTGGCCTCCTACTGTACTTAAGAGTGAAATCTAAACCTCTCACATTCTCTATTTGACCCCTTGCTGTGTCCAAAATCTTACCTTGTACCACTCCATCACTTTCACAAATTATCAGCCATGCTGGCATTCTTTCAGTTCTTCTCACACTCTCTATTCTTTTTTAATTTTTTTAAAATTATATTTTATTGATTTTTTACAGAGAGGAAGGGAGAGGGATAGAGAGTTAGAAACATTGATGGGAGAAAAACATCGATCAGCCGCCTCCTGCACATCTCCCACTGGGGATGTGCCCGCAACCCAGTTACATGCCCTTGACCCGAATCGAACCCGGGACCCTTCAGTCTGAAGGCCGGCGCTCTATCCACTGAGCCAAACTGGCCAGGGCGAAATTTTAAAGTGATAAAATTTAT